TCAAATCGGATGGAAAAATCAGATGTTATGAATTTTTGAAAATCGCAAAATCGCAGTGCGCAAAAACTTTCGGGACGACCTAATAAGAGCGAGGTGGAGCAAGTCAATAGTAAAAATGTGCTATGGATTGACATCGTTATCAGCACTAACGGGAACGTAAGCTAACGCATCTATTTAGGCGTGCTTATCGTTGTTGTATGTTTATGTTTTTTTGGTAAAAAATGCGCTTTTGATTACACTTAACTATGGGAGACTGGTGAATTTCCACACCTTCACACAAAAACCCGCCCATTTCCGGAATCTATACTCTGTAAACCTAGTGCTGAAGAAGGTCGCTTTCGTGAAAACGCTCTAGACTCACCTTACCTAATTTGTAGATAATGGTTGGTTTCAATGAATCAAAAACTTTAAGACATTCAGAAGAATAACATGTTATCAAAATATCCCTCAGTGTTTTATAAAGGTTGGCAGTTTGAAGAGGAAACGGCAGGCAGAATACTTTACAAAATCGCAGATGACTCGCATGTGTTCCAGTTCAACAGCGAGGCAGAATGAAAGTTCATATGCCGACGAAAATGTTGTCGACATTGATACAGAGTTGACAGTTGAGCGAAACTCTCTGATTTCCTACATAAGGAATCCAAGCAGATTGCCTAGTTTAGAGGAAATGTCCAGGAAATCCATTGCTGATCTTCAGGTTGCTGAAGATTTCAAGGCTGCTAAATTCACAAACATGGATATGAACAAAAGGAAGGTGTTAGTACAAAGCATAGCTACTGCTCTTAGATCCCGACTGGAGTGCGAACCCAACTCTGTGCTTTATGCTTTTGGAAGTTATTCGCCTTGTGACATTATGACCTATGATATTGAAAAAAACCAACGCGCAGCATAGTACCTACTTTTTTCGGCTATTCCGCAGATGCTGTTAAAGAAGAAGTTGAGCAGCTTTCTCATCAGTTAACAGGACGTATGCCAGAGGAGGTGAAGCCAGAGTTCCACAAGGCCCAAAAAAGTATGCAATATTTCCTTCCCTTGCGAATGCATATGCGATCTCGCTCTTTCCCCATTACTTACCGCAAAAATCTGATGGACTTACTAGCAAAGCTACTTTCCATTCCGACGCACGGCAGAGGTGAAGAAAGAAATTTTCTATCTACTTTGTTATCAGAACACAACGCAGATTCGTAAAACGATGGAGCATCTAAGCAATTACTTAAGGTTTGTCAACCTTCTACTGAACATATTGTTATCTAAAAACTTCATCTAAAGGATTGGTATAAGTGGTCCAGACAGGCTGTTACCGCATGACTTTTTGAAATATCCTAAAAGATGGTATGAAGAAATTGGTCACCTACCTGCTGACTTTCCTGGTGCTACCAGAGGGCCAGGGAAAAACCACAAAAGCGCTTAGAAAAAGAAGAAAGTTTCAAATCCATTTTCGACCCAGAACGCTTTTGCACGCAATTCTACTTCTACTCCGATGACCTTTTGGAGGAAGAAGAAGATTTTTCAGGCAGTGAACTTGTTGTCTCTGACGTTAGCGATAGTAATATTGTTGATGATGATGTGCAGGAATTGAAGTTGTTCCTAACTTGTACATCTTTTGGGATAAACCTTATTGCTTTCGTTTTTTGTTGATGCAATGAAACAGGAGCACAGATCTTCATAAAGACAATTTTTTTGAGATTTTTTAATTTCTTTCAAAATTTTCAAAATTTTTTTGCAATTTGTGCCGAAATAAGGTGCAAATTAGAGCTCTTCATACCACGCTTTTTTACCTTTTCTCTATTCCTCCCCCCTAGACTCACATACCCCCTTCACCCTGGAAGGTTGGGAACAGCCGAGACCCCCTTCACCTGGGGAGAGCCCGGCTCCCTCTATCGCACCTATGCCTACTGTATAATGACCAAGTTGGAAGTCTGTAGGATTCTTTATCGCAGAAATCCAGTTTTCAGGTAATAAATTTTTTTTCGAATTTGGCTACAAACTTTACATGGAATGCGACTTAGGCGGATCCTTGGTGGTCATTTTGCAGAGCTTGCTTCGCTCTATCGAATGGTACCCAAGTCTGCCAGGAAAACAGAAACAGTTTGATTTATTCAAAAATACGGTTTACTTTTGGGACAACCTAATAGATTATAAATGAAGATTGCACGACTATCCTATTTTCTTAAACATAATCCTAGTTGGATCTTACCACTTTTCTTATCAGTGTCAAGATGCTTGGATCTGCTTCAGAGTTGTAATGACCTCCGATTTTCAAAAATTTTTCTCGCTTTTTTTCTGTAAGCACATGGTTGTCGTCAACGATGCGTGTTGTGTGCAAACTGCCAGAAAAATTTTATCGATCAAGTTTCTTTTACTCTCATCTCCTTTGTTCTTAATCTCGTGCTGCCATTGACACACTCTTATAAGACTTTACTTGACTCTAATTTGGGCCTTGAGTCTTACTTCTTATTTTTATGAACGAATTTTTTATGCGTAATTTCTTCTTACTCATCTCATCTTCAGTTGTCTGCAACATAGAAAGCTGGAAAATGAAGTATAGCATAGTAAGTGATTGTCCTTTCATGTGAAAAATTTCTTACAAAAAAAAAGATACTTAGTCTCCGTGGCCATTTGAGATAAAACCTACACCATTATATGCATTTTAAACCGCTGCTTCCAGATCTGCTTTCTTATCTGCTGTGCACTATCCCGAAAGAATTTACAAACATTTTTTGCCATCAAAACTTGCACTGTTTTCACTTTTGTTTTGTTCTTTCACCAACATCATCATAAAATTCCTTACGCACTACAGAAGAGCGTTTAAATAAAATAAAGCCATACGTTGAGCTCAGGAATGCCGTCAGCGATATATCAGAGTCTAAAAAGCCTGGATACTGCTCTGACTGCCTAGATCTCGTTAAACTGATATGGAAGAGAGTCCATAGTCTATAACTTTGTTCACAGAGACGCAGCAGATGAAGAACATGAATTCGGAATCAGCGATTCAAGGTGCATCTACTAGTATGTATCTCATTGCAAAAGTGCACAGTCACCAAGTATCCTTTCCCTGTTAGATACTGCACATTTAGTTGTAACGAACGGAAATTTTCATTGACTGTATGATTACCAAATAATTGATTTTCGAAAAACTTTCGAATGCACGACATTCCATTTTCGATTTTCAAATTATTCGAATTCCAATGTTCGAATGTAGGCCCATGTGAGAATTGGAACTTCTCAAATGTTCGAATGACTGAACTTGATTGATTTTTCACTAATCAAATAAATCGAATATTCATTAAGTTCATATGCAATATTCGATGAATCGAATGCAGTATTCGAATATCCGAATTCAAAATCCGAATATGCAAACGACTGTTCTCAAAACTTCTCGAATATTCGAAACGAATGAGTGTCTTTCAAAATTCCTCGAATATTCGGATATTTAAATAAGTCATTTTTGCAAGTCTTCAAGTGAACGAATTATTCGAATACAGGCCTTTTCCATTCACGACTATTCGATTACGATTGATTGAATGAACTTTCTCTAATATTCGACTACTCCAAAATTCGAATGGCTTATTTCGAATAAATTATTTGGATACGAATGTTTGTTGAAATTGCACTGCACATAGTAGATCATACGCGCATATTGTAGTGCATTCAATATTTACTGATCTGACAATTGATACAGATTGAAGCACTCAGCACTTTTCATGGAAATTTCCACTTACTTTTACGCTGTAAGATTCTTATAAGTGTATAGCAACAACACTCATAATACCGAGAGAAAAGTAGCTAGTGCAGGTTGAGGATCAGCGGCGGTCCCAGAACTCCCACTAGGGAGAGACGACAAAAAATTTTTCTGTTGAAAACTTTGGCTACACACACTCTGAAAAGGCTTTTGAGATACATGTCAAAGATTTTGCCGGCTCATTTTGCAAGCATAAACCAGTCACTTGCACACTTATAAAACACATGTATGCAACTTTCAAAAATCTCTCAATCTCTCCCCGTCCCACTCCCTCCACAGTTGGAGACCATTCATCTAAGAATAGAGCTTCAAAGTGCTGATAGTCCACATACTATAAATTTTTCCCTAGTATTCAGTATACGCACATATCTGTTCGTCGCGGTCGCAGGATTTCCGCCGGGAGAGGGGGGAGGGGCAAATATTTTTTTCAAATGAAGGCGCGTGGCGTTAGCAATGCGCTCCGAATAATTTCTTGGGAGTTTCTTAAGAAATTCAAGTCCATAATCTCTAAAATCTAAAAAAAGGGAGCGTAGGCAGCCACGCCCCTGAAAAAATTATTTTACAAAGCTAAAAATTTCAAAGATCATTTTTGATTGTTTACAAGAATAAACAAATTACTTGCACATTTTTAATCTAATCATTCGGCTGTCACACCACTAGTCAAAGTTGTCATTTCTTGACGAAGAAGCATCATATAGTTTTTCGCTAACTAGTCCGTGGCTTCTTAACAAGTTTGGGCCTTCCCAAAAACAGAGGAGGCTCTTTTTTTATTAGTCATGAACAACTTTGCATAAATGCCGAGTTTTCTAAAAGACGTTTTGTAGCATTCCAGCGGCTTTATGAGCGCATCGACCATACACTACAATCACTTGGAAAAGCACGACACAACTATTGTTCATAAACGTCCTTTATTTTCAATAACGTTTTGATTGTGAGATAATAAGGAGCAAAAATGAGATTACTTAATGGAGTGTCGCGGTTATGATTTAAAAAAAACGCATAATTCTCAAACTTTTTCGTTAGGTTTCATTTCGATAGTAAATATGTAGGTGAGGGCTAAGCAGTTCATTTGCATTGTTTTGTGGGGAATATATGATAACGGTAGACAAAAAATTGGATAATCGATTTTATGCAAGCTGACAAACGTTGCGGAATCCTGGCGACCGTTACCTGGAGCTCGTCATAGCAATATTTTCACCTTTTCACTATGATATGAAATGATGATGTTATGCATATTCATTGATTACCAGGTGAAGTTCTATACAACTGGAGTGTCGGAAATCAGCTTTTTCTTGACTTTTTCGCATTCTTCGTTGGTAGGTCTTCCCAGCACTTCCTTGTTGAACCCGGCACGTCTTTGTACAAAAAAACAAACGCTTCGCAACTTAGCTGTATACGTTTCCGTGCCGAATATTGCAAAACTGTAAGAGCATCCAAACCGTGGTACAAACGGCCTCTGAAACAATTTGCAAAATTTGTTTTCTTGACAAGGGTCTGAAATAAGTTACCCACCCCAAGCACTACTTTAACGCGCTTCACAATCTGAACAGCTATTTCGCTATAACTCGCATTCCTGTAAATCCTTAGATCGATCGCCTGAGCATAACAATGAATAAACACCTACTGATCTGCAAGGTAGAATACGACTGCAACGCCCCTGCCTTTCTGACCCCAAAAACAATCATCCAGTGTTATCTCTTTGTTGGAGAGGTCCAGTGCCAGTGTTACTAATTCACAATCCTTAGTCTGAATAGAGAAAGCCTCTTATTAAACTTATTTCAAAGTAGTATTTTTTTTTATTTGCAAAATCAGCTATAACAAAACTTGGTACACGTTCTATACGTGATAATGATGTTCTCCAATTCTAGCATTCGTAATGCTAGAATCGGAGAATAGATAATGTGACCTAACAATAAATTGGCTCACTGATAAACAATTATGTTGATATCGGTGCATTTCAGATTGTAGCATGGCTAATATAATGAAACCAAATATTGATGTTAAACACAGGAATGACATCGAATGATTAGTCGGAAGATAATCGCCGAACACGCAAACTTCCAAGAACATAGTTACAACAAGATACAAGAATCACTTAAAAATGTTTGGGCAAAATTCACATTAATCAACTTGTAAAGAATCTGGACACTAACCACGCGATAATTTTGAACTTTTGACTTTTTGCGGAGTCTTTCTTCTACTTCGTTGTTCAGGTCGTTGAAATCAGGACATTCGTCTTTTACAAATGCAAATGAGTGAAGGCACATCACCTGAACGCGGTGATCAATGAAGGGGAGAAAAAAGGAAGAACTCACGGCAAAAATGATGTACTGTTTCATTGTAAAACTTCATTTGCTTCAGGCTATTTATAATCTGACAAAGTTGCCTCATGTAGTCCGCGCCTTCGTTGTCCCTACTCTTATCGCTCTACTAGTACAAATGAACCTTAACAAACCATCCATTTGGGCTGAATTGAAAATTAAGAACGCCATGTAGAAGATAGACCATTATGATGGCTATGAAATTTTGGCTTTGTGGAAGCTGAAATTTTGGAAGGGATTTTTTAGCTTCATTTATGGATGATGACCGCTCTCGACTGTTACGTGTTCCTCGCCAACTGTTTTTATGACCGTTTGGAATGTCCACAAGCATAAAAGTATTTGGAAGTTGGCTCGCACGATGCACTCCTAATTAACACATTGACGACAACGTAAATTTTGAGTTGTTTGTCTTTTGGGACCAAGTCTTGTCACGGATCAATGCATATTTTTCAGATAAAATCACGCTAGTTCCACCCACAGTATACCTACAGTAGCTCTGTTAGACTCACAAATTAGATGGAGGTTAGTCCTAACTTTAGCGCAAAAGAGGGAACACTTGAAGTGACTTTGTCCCAGGCTAGTCGTCATTTTACTAAATCCACACCTTGACGCACCATGTGTGTCAAGCGGTCCCACGTGGTAGTCATTGCTTGACACACCGTGTGTGTCAAGCGGTCGTCATTGTGTTAACTTACTAACTTGGTTGGATATAAAAGGGGGCTACTTTGTTGTTCTTGCTGCGTGTAGTACGACCAGCATTTGCAAAACTTACCTCACGAGACTGTGGTATTACGTAGCCATTACTCCGTGCGATATGTGCAGCCAGGTCCCCGGACTCAAGTTTTTCTAGCAGTCTGAACATATTGCCAACAATGGCTGCTGGGTGTTCTAAGGGCTAAGTTGGCGAACAATATGATTTTTGAGAACGAGCGAAGCAGAGCGACTTGAGTCGAAGACATAAATATAAATATATCATAAATTAAAACATAAAAGTTTGGCAAAAATACCACATGAGCAAATTTTTCTGTCATGTTATCTCACTATAATCAACGGAGTAATTTCCAGTAATTAGAAAACTTGAAAGCTTCTCCAAATTATTCACGTAGAATACATAAAGTTAGGGGTATCGGCAAGCTGTAAAATTGAAAGCAAAAAAACCTCAAAGATTCAAACTTGATTGACGGTCAAACTTAATCTTAGATGCAGACGAATCCTTACAATGAAAGGTTGATTAGTTGAAGTGGGTTTTTGAGATGAGATGTAGATTGCTTTGAAGGGCATGGAAGGCTGATTCCATGTGCATAAATGCCTTGAGTTATGCGATTGAAACAAGCTGGAAATTGCCTCAAATGTAATTAGCTCAGAAAGTTCCTCGTTCAGCAGTTTGACTGAACTGACCGGGATTTATTACTGCAAAAAAGAAATAAGTCAAGGAGAAAGGAACACCAAGGGACACCAAAGGAAGAAAAGCAAAGTTAGTATAACCAACTAGAGACGGAAAATATTGTAGAGGTAATATTGTAGAGGTTGTTATGTTTTTCTTGACGGCAGCGGCCTCATGCAAGTACAGTAAGGTGAAAGGTGAAAATGAGACTAAAAGAAAGAAGTGGATCATGCAAAATAACAAATCAATACGAAAAACAATGGACTAGACAAGTTTCAAACGTACAATGAGATGCTGCTGGATATTGGCATAGGAAGTGCTAACGAGAGAGAACATGCGTTTTTGAAAGGACTTTTTGTCAGATACTATCAATTGCCCGCATCAGCAACACCGCGTCATAAATGCAAAAGTGAATGCTTAAAAACTCCTTGAAAATTGTCAAAGGATTTGTTTTTGATGCATTAATGAACAAAAAACGCAAACTTTTCTCTCTTGAGGTAATTTCCAGTTTGTTTCAACCGCATAACTTCAAGCAGTTATGCACATACACCCCCGGTTGAGGAGGGCAAAGGGGCTACGAGTGCACCTTATCCTCGTTTTTTACTCATATTCTGAAAGCTTTGCTGTTTTGATCACTGCCTCCATCTGTTAGCATAAGGAATGAAATTAAATTGGCACATAAGCTTTTTTCATTGCTTTTCATATTTTTGTGCTAAAAGTACAAGCCTTTTTAGTAGATCCAGCAAGCGGTGCTCGGATAAACTTTGCATCGCTGATGTTCACGATGTTCTCAACTTTCTTATGAGGTAATTGCGCTCCTACATTACAAAACACTGAGGGCGGAAGGTGTGTGATTAAATACCAAGGTAGATGCCTACTATATGGTAAAATAAGAAAGAGAATGATAGGGATTGCAGCGAAGACACGTTGTCGACCTTGAAGTGCAATTTATGCAAATTAGCTGTGTCCAATGAATCTATTCGGCCGTTCAATAAGTGCTTAGCGTTTATTATCTCTGCTATCGTGCATGACCTTCTGCCATCTTACGTCGTATAATTCAATTATAGAGCAGCGCATTAGGTGCTAAGCATGTCATCTAAAAAAGCTCCAAAAATTTCAATGGTAAATCTCTTTCATATGGCTAAATAGAAAAGGGAACAAAAGTAAACTAGTAAGGAAAGATTGGAGTAAAATCAGGTATCTCAGGACTGTTTTAACAACGTTGGCACTTTAATCTAATATTGTCAAGCAAAATTTCCTTAGTATTCATTGAGCCTTTTTTGCTGTATGACATATACGGTGCGATAGGATTGCCATCAGATGATAGTGACTACACTATAATATTAATTTTATTAAGCAAATCTAGTGCGAAATGTCTTGTCAATCCCAAGAAAAGCTAATTTTCTTCTTGTCCGTGATACCATTGACTCTTGGTCTGTTTGAGCAAGCCAATCCTTCTCGCAATCCCTTCGCCAGGTCCTCACAGTTTCAAGAAAAGTTGATTTTCTTCTAGTGCGGGAACACCCTGCTTGACTCTTAGACTGCTTAACTCTTTTCTGCTCCGTATTAATGTGCAAATATTTTTATTTCTGTTCTGTGTCAAATCTGTGCAAAAAACGGTTTTTTCTGTAGTGAGAACTGAAAAGGTGCCAGAAGTGTCGCCTTTTTGCCTTTTAAGACTTCGAAGTGAATTAGCCTTATCGAAACTTGTAAGTTTATCTTGTAAGATAATCAGCACTTTCGATAATATGGCAGCTTTTTCCAGATTTACCCCTCCTTGTGAGGATGAAAATGAATATACCTCGAAGTTATTCGACCTGATAAAACCCAATTCTTTCTAATTCAAGTTATATTCAAAGGCTAGCTGAGAGTATTTCAATCTCGCAAATCAACATTGGAATAGCACCGAATTGCATCGACTTGCAAAAAGTTGACCCTATCAGCTGGTTATCAAGACATTCACAAGTCTCAGACAAAAATTCTTAGGAAAAGTTCGTAATATAAATAGAGGGTTGTAAGCTTTGGCGGTTACCTCAACGCTCATCGAGAGACTCGTATTGCCAGCATAACTGCTGGAAAAAGGAAGAAATCCTGCAGAGGGTGATGCAAAGAGACTTTGTTTTCTTCATTTTATGAGGTTTATGGGTACTTCCCAAGTCATTGACTTTTAATCCTACAAAACTCCCACTTAGGTCAAGCATACACTGAACACTTGGTAACACATACGGCACTTTCAAACATCAGCTTTTTTGGGTACTTTCAACTTCTGTAAATCAAGCGAACTTTTGGTCATCAGAAAATCACTTTTAATGCGCTATTGAAGAAGAAAGAATTCCATAATCTTATGGTGTTTTTCTAATATACTTGAATACCTTCTTTGACATGGTGATGGTTTTTAGAACTTACAGCCATAACTGGCAAGACCTTCCGACGAAGAATTTTCGAAGTTAAGCTTACAGGCGGAGCCCATAGTCTTTGACACCTACAGACCACCTCCACCTTACCACCTTTTTTTAGCAAACCATAAAAGTCGCTATTTCCCCGTTTTAGTGTAAGCACGCTGTACGCCAATTTCAAGCTATGAAATACTTCCACTTTTTACGAGCGTTGAAAAGTGATCGGAATAGGCCTTGCTAGCTCTTGCTTCACTTTAGCACCATCAATTTTGGACTCGTCAAATGTCTCTATCAGAAAATAATGCTTGCAAAACGTTGTATAAATGAGTAGTTTCGACAAAAATTTCTTGCATGAACGTATTTCTGTAAGAATGTATCTTGGTTACCTGCGACCTAGCCTGCGATATCGTTAAGCTCAGAATGAAATTTATATGTATCAAAGTGAGCAAGAAAATCGCTTCAAAGTGATGCATCGCAAAAAAGATCGCATCAAGGGTGAAGAAACTTTTGAAACCAGCTGCTTCAAACACCAGACAACAAAAGTCAGACAAACTTGTGCAGCAGGCCAGCATAACAATATTTAAAGGCCATTTTGTGAAGCTTGTTTTGCTCTATCAAATGTTCTACATTATATGGGGCTCGCTGTTGCAGTACCATAAGAGGTGACGTTTTTTTCTTCGAAAGATCTTTGTCACACTTACATTTCACAAATATTTTCTGGAACGTTTGGATAAACTTGAGGTTGCGTTTCAAAAAGCTGGTTTATGCATACAAAGAAAGCACTGCCAAATCCCATTTATTCAGTGCATTACATATAGACAATTGATTGCGATATTGATATCTATTTGATTGCGATAGATTTCTCGTAAGCGCGGCGCCACTCTATAGCAAATGTGTAATCAGCTTGCGGGGATTCAAGGTTATTAAGTAAGCCTTAGACTTTGCCCTCAAAAGAAAATATGGACGCGCAGAGGCTACTCAAAGAATACATGGAGATACTGGCAAATCTGCTAAAGCAGGAAGAAAATTGAAGTTTGAAAGATGCGCTGTTGGTTTGACACTGACTTAAAAATAGTTGCCGTTCTTATAAATCCGTGTATGTGGACCAGTCCATGGCGAAGGTGCCACTTGATTGCGAGCATCGAAGGCTAATTAGACAAGCGTATGAATTTTTTCTCTCACAATGACTTATGGGCACTCCAAAGACACGCAAAGAGTATATTCTATCAGGCTAGGTAGGTCGTCATTGCCTAAGGCGCAACTGTCGCCTTGGTAGGAATATTTGCAGATGTGGACAGGGGCCTAAGGAGCAATTGTCGCCTTGGTAGGAATATTTGCAGATGTGGACAGGACCCGGCACAGATCGAATGGAAGCAGGCTGCACTTTGTTTTTGGGACAAAAACCAAAGGGGATATCGTTTTTGCAAAGTTCGCGGCGAAGCCCGGGAAAAAATTGTGTACATGGATTCCAGCGAAGCATGTGGGGAAAAATTGCATCATAGGTGCGTAAGACAGTACAACACAATTTCTGCAGTACCAAAACGACCAATCAGTCAAGCAAAAGCTACAAAGGCACGTTTTTGCACGATAAACGTGGTCCATCGTGTTTTACGAAAAGCGCACGTAAATTGAAAGCAAAACCAAAATCAACAAATTGTTTGTTTACAGCGTAAAGACAAGTTATAACACCACATTTGGACTGTAGACACTACGTAAGAAGTTCTGGAAGCTTGTGTGAATACCTTTTTCAAAATTAGTCCGTTTTAAAACACCCATCGTACGATTTGAGATCGTATGGAGTGTGTACTTTTGCCAGTTCGCATGATTTTTGATTTTTTCTAACGCGGATGACCGCCTGTCAAGATTTTTGTCCCGGAGCATGAAGACATTTCATACAGTTGCCATTCCTTCGTTTTTTGTTTCGATTTCTCCATAAATCTTTCATTAGATATCGCGCTTCAATCAGGGCCCGGCACGAGTCGGTTTCTAGGGTTTCGGAAAACGAAGTCTCCCCTGACTTTCGGAAGCTTTACGAAGTCCTATTTGACCTACCTTCTTAAAGGAAGATAAAAGCAAGAAAGA